TTAAATAATAGACCTAACCCAAAATTGCAGATTAATCATGATGTGAATGCTTAATCTATAAGATGATATTAATAATTTACTCTCAAATAACGATATGTTACATGGGGAATGCCATGTTATGAACAGGATCAAACTAAAACAAGTGATCTTACGTAGAAGTGACATCGTCTTCTATACTGACTGGTCGCACGTGACATTCACAACATAGTATTTAGCATTTCTGAAAAACACATTTAGACTGTGATGGAATAATATATTTGATGTGAATAGGGATAGGTTACTCAGAATGACCATGCCTGCCAGACTGAGCCATACCATATCAATCGATTGTTCCCATGTTTACTATTTTTGATGTCCTTCAAGTGCTACATATTGAATGTAAATCTTCTAAGTTATCCTATGCTCAGCTTCGATGATCGTTTGATTGGGGACCAGTATCACCACAAGCTCACAGCTGTCAACGAATACGACAACGGTATTCCAGTGGTGCTATCTCGCCTCATTTATCCGGGTTGCACTCATGTCGTGGTACTAGGATACTTCAATCTTCCTGACATTAATTTCATAGAACACATGTACATTGGAGGTGAAAAGTCTACTGAAGCTCAGTTTATTAACCTCAGTGAAGATTTGATACTACTCGAGTGAGACTTTATGTAATAATCGGAAGTACTTGAATTATAGTATGAACTAAGAATTCCAGAAATAACGTAATCGGATCAAGAAGTATTAGATAACCACAAGCGAATGTACTGAATTTAGAATTCGAAATCAAGCATACAACAAGTACAAAGGTATCATCAGTTCATTCAAACGCTACATCCGTCACAGCATAAATTGGAGTCTAGGTGTCCTTAATCAATTGTGTGTCTTCTTCTCAAGTTCATCCCGTGTCTGTCCAATATTGTATTGGACAAAGTCTCTGTATTATATAGAATGCACTCATTCGTATTAGAATTAATAACCGAAATCGGAACCGACTCACCTGCTTCCTGGGATTGTGTAATCAGCATGTCGGTTGTGTACTGAAACCGCTGCTATCTAGAATTTGAACCATAGACTTTTAGACTATCCTCCCCCACGAAATAATGTTGGACCTTTATATCCCCAATTTATGAGTGATGTGGCTTCATTTAAAACATATTTCTCGCATTGGTTAGAGTAAACATTAGAAGTGTTTTTGTGATAAAGATGAACAACAGTTAATATGAAATCATTCGAATTGTAATCAAAATCGAGGTCATTTAGTACTTGAGCTTCTCATTGAACAAGTTTCCCACAAAAGACAAATGCATTATGAGGACAAATAATATTTGGTATGATATCAAGCTTTGATTCTTCTAAAATAGTTTCCTCGAATTTATTAAGAATGTCATTGCAGAGTAAAGGATCATTAGAAAAATCAGCATCTATCAAAACTACATCACGTTTTCGATCATGAGTAGGTTCATTAAGCATATTTTCTTCAGATTTGCACGGAATTTCGTCAGAAATAAGTGAATCGTTAGAAAAAACCATATCTGGTACAATAACATTAGAAATCCGATAAGTCGATTGATTAGAAACTGTTTTCTCGCAAGAATTCTGAGTTTCATTTAACTCTGAACTGCTATATGATTCTACACTGTCTTTTGAAATCGTTGATAAAGATAAATGATCAGTATAAATACTCAATTTCATAGAATCAGAATTACAAGACTTAATATTAATTGCAGCAAGATGGACAGTAGTATTACAAACTGACTGAATATGTCTAATATCACCACATTTAAAGCACTTAGAATTGCGAAATCTACATGAATTAAAAGGGTGAAACCTTCCACAGGACAAGCATTGACCAAACTTGTGCTCATCCTCGAGAACTGCATCCAAACTGGGTTTTGATGACATAGTAATGTAGTGGAATTTTCTATATCCTCATGAATCTCTTTACAAAATCTTCTTTTATTGCATTCGAAATTTGTATACTTAACATAGTCTAGCAGCCGTTCTTTGAGAGCTGTATAAAGAAGCAACATAGGCTTTTCCGGCATAGCCAGAGTTCTTAATAAACTGTATGCTTCTTTTCCGATGAGTGTGGGAAAATGTGCTACAATATTAACATCCTCATCACCTTCCTTGATCATAGCCCAGATTTCGAACCTTTCAAAATAATCCCCAAAAGCGCCAAGATATGAATGTATATCCAACCGTTCCATCACAGGCTTCATCGCGACGCCAATGAGATTATTAGAAGTATTTGAATTATAGTATGAACTAAGAAATCCGGAAATAACGTAATCGGATCAAGAAGTATTAGATAACCACAAGCGAATGTACTGAATTTAGAATTCGAAATCAAGCATACAACAAGTACAAAGGTATCATTAGTTCATCCAAACACCACATATGTGCAGCTCGAAGACATGTTGCAGATTATGCATGAAACTTATGAAACTCTCCTCTAGAGGTATCCCGAGATGAAAAAGATGTAGGGGTGTTGCTACCCTATTGTTATAACTTGTGGTTTCGTACCCTCGGTTCTTTGTTTCTCAACCCATCACCAATTGTTATAACGCTCATTTTTACTTTGTTCAATGTTATAACGGTTGGGTTTGCACGTTTACGCTTATGGGACGTTAATTTACCTTAGGCGAATATCTACACTAGATTCCCTCCCACTGTCTATTCTACAGGACGTCAACACAACTCATATCAAGAACATGTGATTAACGTGATCACAGTGGAAATATATTTCCACACCAAAAACCCGACACAAACCAAAAACAATGAACAATCAATAATAAGTGTGAGTAGTAATAGTAAGGATAAGAGAATGTATAACTCATCTGACACCTGTCAGACCATCTGCATATCTGAATAAGCAGACAACCAATCATTATCATTCTCGCCCACACATCACCTATGATCTGAAATCTTACTCTAATTGCAACGAAAACACCTCTGACCAAACCTTCTACTGGTAACATTTAAGTGTATGTTTGGTCGGTTTGATGAAGTAACTTACAACTTATTCTTCAACAGTTTTATTTGATTCCATCTAGAGTATGGAAATATCGTGCTTTTTCCTCACTCCAAAAGGATAAGAACACAAGGAACGTATTCAAAGGTAAGTCATGTAATCACATCAGGAACTCGAATTCATATCTTATGAAAACGATTTAAATCGCTGAATCGGTATTCATTGCAGCATAGGCATCTCACAGTTGAATTTTTAATGACTCACAGCATCCTGAAAATCCCTGAACACCACCTGTTGAAAACTTACTTTAGATCAGTCCCAACACAAACCTTAGGGGTAGGATCAAGAAATTGTAGAAACAACATAGCAGAATGGACTCTAAAGAAACCTTTAATTCTTTATGAGCATTCAAATTCTGAGGTGGTTCAAGTGACTTCTGAGGAGTTCTTCAAGGGGATACTTGCTAAGCCACATAGATTCATACAATCTGTTAGCTCCTGAGCAACATGGATCTCGTAACAAGCGTTTATGCTTGACTAACTTACTTATTGCGAGAGAGGATTGGACAGCAGCCTTAGATAAAGGTCTGTCAATCTATGTGATATTCATAGATTTTAGCAAAGCATTTGACGAGGTTTCACACGTAGGCCTTATGCAGAAGCTCACTAGCTTCGGAATAATAGGTGCTGTACATGACTGGATAAGAAATTTCTTATGTGACCGCAGACAGAGAGTGAGGGTCAATGAGACGCTATCCGATTGGAAGCCGGTCAAAAGTGGTATACCCCAAGGCACCATCTTAGGCCCTCTGCTCTTCCTTCTCTACGTTAATGAGTTATCGCTGTTGCTTAGGTCGTCGACATTAATGTTTGTGGATGACGTAAAACTCTGGAGAACAATAAAAAGTGCGGCTGATCAGCTGGATCTTCAAGCTGACTTAGACGATTTGGTTAGATGGGCTCGAGGTTGGGGCTTAGAAATCAATATTAGGAAGAGTGTACTAATGCACATTGGTCACGGTAATAGTTACCGTTACACTATTGAGGGTAAACCTCTTCCATGCGTTCAAGAGCATAAAGACTTAGGAGTAGTATTAAGTCATGATTTAAAAACAACTACTCATCGCAAAGCAGCCGCTGTCAAAGGTTTTCGTGCGTTATGGTCACTTCACCGAGCGTTCAAATCTTTTGACGAGGAAACGTTTCGAATTTTATATCCCATATATGTTAGACCACATTTAGAGTACTGTATCCAAGCAGCTAGCCCGTGTCTGGTAAAGGATACTAACTCACTTGAGCGTGTTCAGCGTGTAGGAATGAAATTAGTGAAGGGTCTTTCTAGACTCCCTTACAATGAGCGTTTAAAACGCCTAACTTTTTTCCCCTTGTCGTATCGTCGGACACGCGGTGACCTTATACTGGCATTTTGTATCTTTAATGATGATTTGGGTGTTAATATGTCTTATCTCTTTGCTCCCTCCAGCACTAATAATCTCCGAGGCCGTAGCAAGAAGGTTCATAAACCACGATCCAATAAACTTGAAGTAGGGTCTCGTTTTTCTCATCGAGTAATCAATCATTGGAACGCCTTACCCGAACAAGTGGTATCATCCCCATCAGTGAATATTTTCAAGGAGAAGCTGGACCTTCACTGGAAAGCAATGTGTCAGGATTAACACAGGGTCAACAACCCACTATCCTTATTACTGAAGACTGATGACTCAGGACAGCATATCATTGTTTACCGATATTTCTTTTTTTATCGTCAAATGGTTCAAATGGTTGTGGACGGAATAGAAGAAGCTTTCGCTTAACAGGCTTCCGTGTCTAGTAGCAGGGGATCACCAAATCCTCCAGGCAGGAACCTAGGTATGTTAACAATAAAAGATAGATAGGGCCTTGACTGGAGGCATCAGTGAACTACTGCTACCAGATATGAATCCTCGTTAGGCGAAAGCTTCTTCTCTTCCATCCAGAACCATTTGTACCATTCGAAACTTATGACTGTATCCTTGAAATTGAAGATTGACCAAAGTTGGGGAAGTTTCGAAGTTAGTTTATCCTAGTGATGGACTCAGGTTCGTCATAAGATTATTTGATGTGGCGAAATCCGTCTAAAATAGTGCCGCCTTATTGTGTTCTAAATGAGATTGCTATTGTCAAGTTTTCGAACAAGAATAGCGTTGGATATTTAACTGATAGCATTTTGCCAAATTGTTCAAACTTGAATTGGTTGCTGTGATATTGTGCTGTAGATGTCATTCCATATGAGTGTGACATAAAATCTCAAGGGTTTCTCCTTTTAGACATTCTTGATATACGTCCAGGGTGGTTCCTGGTAGAATCCTTCGTGGTATGCCCAACCAGCTGCAAACCTTGATCGTTGGTTCGGGCTGTTTCAGAGTCCCCTGACTCATCCGAATCCCAAGTAATCAAATTTAAACCAGACTAAACTTGTTTTATTTGTAACTCTTGAAGTTATCGTCATCGAATCCAAAACGTGCACCATTTGCTCATGTTTGACCATCCTCTCAATATTACCCAAGCAACACAAAAAGGGGAAATAAAGGGGAAATGTCGCTTTTTCGCCTTTACGTCGGTTATTTAGGGGAAATGTCGCTTTTTTCCCCTTACGTCGTGTATTTGGGGGAAATTTGTCGACAATTCTACGTAACGTACAGTGTTTGAATAAACCGCAATGATATATCATTGCCATAATGTAGGTCAAAATAGAGCTTATGAGTCTACCCTTGATTATGGGAGAAGATCATTCGCGTCTATGCTTTTACTTCTAGAGGCCTCATTCCATTACATGACACAACTTTCCATCAGTAGGAGTTATAATCTCTTCACATCCTGTTTTCTCGTATAGATTGCCAATAGCTTATAGACTAGACACCCCATAGATTGTCATTTCTTTTTTTTAAAATATGGAGCGTATTTTGTTTACGTATAGCGTTAGCTTGGATTAATGCTTATTCGAACATATCAGTCGAAATCACAATTGGTGCTTCCCGAATCGGGGCTAGACCTGTAACATTACACGAAGTATATTTGATGCTGGGTTCGTTGTTGATTATGCTGAACTGCACTTTCACCTATTTATTTGTTTGTTCGTCTGATTTGTATATTTCTAGTTATAACCAAAATGCAAAATTTCAATTGATATGTTGGTGTTTGGACTCAGAGAGCTTCGTAAATAAATATTTCTCAATTAAAATAAATGCAGTTCAGTGAAGAAACTTTTCTTTTTTATGCCATATACTAGAGCTAAACAATCGCATTTATATTTATTTTACGCCTGGTGGTCTATAATACAATAGTGAATCGTTGCACTAGTTGCAAAAGCACTTAAGATTGCTGAAAAATATTTTAAAGTTGCATAATAGTCGGATGATAAACAAAAAAATAGTGTGTAGAAGGGAGACAAAAAACCACCCGTTTGGCGAATATAGAAGAGACAAAGGGGCACTAATCACGTAAAAAATATTTGAAAAATCAGAAAGCTGTGTTAGGACCATGGGGAATCACCAACAAACACCTTAGTTATTAATTTCATCTACTCTTGAAGTATTATTCGACCAGTCAGTTTTGGCTTTAATCCATCCATCTTTGGCAGAACATTTTACTGAATGTAAAGTGCCGTTGTATCAATAATATATTTAGAAACTGAGCCTCGCATTGTACTGGTTTTAAAGTATTGGTATAAAATATGCTAGTAATAAATAATGTTTAATATGATGTACGTCCTTTTTAACGTTTTTTACGACTATTTTGAAGTTCATATTTACCATAAATACAAACTGGAGTACTCTGTTGAAGTAAAAATGGGCCATTTCAGTTTCTCAGGCTTTGTCTATTCAAATATCGAGCCAACTCGTAGTCCTTTTAGTTCATTAACACAGGTCATCCAGCTGCCGGTTTATACATAGCTCTCATACATTTTTTAGACTTTCTCATTATTGTTCCAATAAACTGGAATTTACATTTGATTTAAAAGTCACTTTGTTTTATCTGAGAAGCTTATATCTATCATTTTATTTACAGGAATTACAGATAATATTCGACGCCGGAAACGAAGAGAACTTACAGCAGGACAAAAACAAGAAATTGTTGAAGCATTTGACCTTTTTGATACAGACAAAGATCAGCAAATCAGTTATTATGAATTCAAGGTCTGGTCGTGATAGTTATCATGATTTTCCTTACAGGTTGCACTTCGAGCACTTGGATTTGAGTTAAAAAAACAAGAGGTTCTAAAAACTTTGGAGGACTACAACATCAAAGAAGATTCTGGAAAACTACGATTTGAAGATTTCAATGAAATAGGTGAGCATGATATTTACTGAGTTATGGTGATTTATTCTACACTTCACTAAAGATAGTGAAGTTATACTATGCTCGAATCCTTAATCATATATTTTCAGAAATCACTATTAATCCCTTATCTTTTGCTCAATTTTCCTAAAGATCATGATGTTACTGACTTAATTAGTAACCTTATGAACGGCTTAAGTGACGGTACAAGGATGTCGAGGATTCGTTTCGGTCATTCGGGACTTCAAATTATAGTCCAAAACTGGTCTTTTATCCAGTCTGATCTTCAAGAGTAAAGTAGGTAAATGCGTTAATCACTTCGCTTACTTTGGAAACTTCATCAAACCTGTCGAGTATGTTGACTAAGCATTGTATGAACCATTTAAGCCAATACCATGTGTTACAAAGACGTGTAAATTTTACTCAAAGCCAATATTTTTTAATTCTACATCCATAAATCTGGATGCAGCAGTCGTCAAAAGCAAGAACGAAGTACCTCTGTGCTTCCCTTAAATCAGAAATGCTATCTCATCCACAGATCAGCCCTCAGCATTAATACGACTCGTATGTTATTGATCATCGTATGGTATTTAAATACCTTATAAATGAAGTTCACAAATAGTATGAAGTCCAGGATTACAGGTTTAGGTGCTTCCACTAATGACACTGGTATATTAGTCAGTTAAGTTATTAAAATTAATTATAAGATTAGATTTCGGCTTCTTAAAAAAAAGTACGTAGAAACATGAGTTAGGCGGAATTTCATGTTTTTTTAGACGTTTATATTGAATTACATAGGTTTACAGATAAAACGTTCACAAAGTCACCCTTGTGTATTGGTCCATTTGTTTTTGCAATATATGATTATCGTCTTAGACAAATCCAAATTTATTCTTTTAATTCTCCAGATAGTGAATACAAACTAACAAGCATTATTTGCAAATTAGGGAATTCCACCTATAACAACTTTCTATACTTCATTCTCAAATCTTCCAGTGGAATTAGGAATTGTATAACTGTTTGGAGACTCAGAGGTCTTTAATGTAGTTGTTAGTCATCAGCAGTAGTGCATAAGTGTAGCGTTAAACCAATTCAGCCTATTTGGAAGATTCGAAACTCTTACGTTAATTTAAAATAAAATAGATATGTATATATAGTCTTTCATTGAGTAGATTTAATTTCTTACGTTTTGCAACTTCGTATACCTTCTTTAGAAAATGAATAACTTCAAGTTAACAAAAGTCCGAATGATAAAAAGAGCGAATCAGACCAGAAATTTCATTTTACGCAGTTGGTCCGCCTTGCTAATCTAAACAAAGCAAAAACGAAGACGTTTACAAAATACAATGGATTCATCGCTTTTAGTTACTTCCTCCTCAGCCATTTGCAAGTTACTAGGTATAATCAGTTATAATAATAACGTACATGGAAACCAAGGAATAAGTTATGCATCTGAAAAAGAAGTTCGACTACCTATAATCACTCCATCAAAACTTTAATCTAAACTACATTACCATTTTAAATTCCAAAAACTTCCGTTGCTACATCTATTACTATTTATTTAAGAGAATCCTATTCATTTTTATAGCTTCAATTCTCGGAATCCTAATACTTGTACATTGTGATCAAGTTTCGCTACTTATCGGTTTGAGAAGTAGAAGTTAGTATCTTATCATTTCAATCTATGCCCTATCATATTCATCATTTCCCTTTTACATAGTTTATATATATAATTTTTTAGTGACAGATATGATTTTAGACAGGGATCCTGTCACGGAAATGGTACGAGCCTTCAAGCTGTTCGATGAAGATGATTCTGGGAAAATTACTTATCGTAATCTAAAAAAGATCTCAAAGTGAGTTTTATTCAACTAATCTTTCACATGATTATTAACGTTTTATTTATCTTGTATTCATTATACCTAATCAGTTACTAATTGAAGTTTTGGAATATCATTAGGAATTAATTACACCTGTTACCCCTCGTAGAGGAACATAGGCCGCCTACCAGCATTCTCCACCGAACTCTGTCCTGAGCAACCCTTTCCTGTTGCTATTCATCCTTTTGATGTCTGCTTCCGATTCCCTGCGTAATGTGTCCTTTGGTTTTCTTGTTTTTATTTTCCCTTCAGGATTCTAAATTATCACTTGCCTCGTGATGTAGTCTGATGATTTTCGCAATGTATGTCTTATCCACTTTCATCGTCTTTTTCTAATTTCCTCTTCACCTGGAAGCTGGTTTGTTCTCTCCTACAGTAGGCTGCTGCTGATGGTATCCGGCAAACGGACATTGCGTATCTTACGTAGACAATTGTTTATAAACACTTGTGCACTTTTGATGATGGTTGTAGTAGTTCTCCAAGTTTCAGCTCCATACAGTAAAGCTGTATTGACATTTGCATTTAAAATTATGACTTTGATGTTGATTGACAGTTGTTTTGAGTTCCATATTTTCTTCAACTGTAGGAATGTTGCCCTTGTTTTGCCAATCCTTGCCTTTACATCTACATCAGATCCCCCTTGTTCATCGATGATGCTGCCGAGGTGCATGAAAGTTCCCACATCTTCCATAGCTTCTCCATTAGGTGTGATTGGGTCGGTGTTCCCTGTGTTACTACTACTAATATCAATTGATCTAAGACCTTAATAAAATGCAATCAAGAAATCGGATTCAAAGTAGACAGAATAGGATTGTATTATATTACTGTAACAAATTAAAGCACAGCATAAAACATTTAATCATACAAGAATTGTATTATTTCTCCACACCACTGAATATTTATCATTGCCTTTTTAATAAATAAATAAATAGTTATAAAGGGTAGGTCATAGGGCAAACTTTCCCTGCTTCATTCTAATCAACTCGAACTTACATGGAAATTCATTGGTTCAACTTTTCTTCAGCTTGATTTTGTAATTTTTCAAGAGTTTAACATCTACACGTTTTAGTGACCCTAAATCTGACTCCAGGTAGATCGTTACTGAAATAAACATGTCACCAATCCTCGATGTAAATCGCGTTAGTGGATAACGGAATTAAATAAGTCTAATACGAGAATGAATTTCGAATAAGTGTATTTCATACAATCGTTGATCCAGAATCAACGACTGGAGAAGCGAAGCGAACAGAAATGATGCGCGATGGAGAAGGCGTGTGAGCCAACTCGATTTGATCAAGTGTTGATCGATATTTATAGTCAGATAAAATTAAGTTACAGACATGTGATGAATAGGATAGGAAACGAACACACATGCGCTTATGTAAAATCAGTCAAGTTTGATAAGCGAATAATTAACAAGGTCAAAACGTGACTCAAGACGAATGAATAAATTGGTCTGTCCGGAAGCTGGAATAATCTATATGGGCTTAACATAGCAACCGATACCACAAGGTAACTGTTATGTTGTTGCATCAAAATATTAAAAAATAAATTTAAATCCAATTCGTATAATCAGCTTCTATACATTAAGTTTCTTCGCTCAACTCGTCTTAAGTTAGTAAAAGTGGATTTATTTTGTTGTTGTCGATAAACCTTAGATGTTTAGGCAGTATGTAATTGCTCAAATAATAATATTTTAAGCAAATCAACTTACAGAAGTCACAGTTTTATATATCTAATTAGGTAAATATCACATTAAACATTTATGGATGACAAATCGATGCTTTATATAGTAGGTGGTCTATGCTCAAATATTTGGAGTTCCCTATTTAGAACAAACAAGTGTAATTATCCTTCAAGCCATCTTTGTAAATTAATAAAAGTCGTTAATGAATACTATTGCTTTTTACTACTCGTAAGTAGTTAAAGTTAGTTCACTCGAATCTCTATGTCCATTTCTCTAGTTTTTTTGATAATCAGTTACTTTAGCATCCATTTTCTCCATAATTCATCTTTTAATATTCGTCTAAAAAGGTTGGATCATTTGTAAAGATTATTTTTATTCCTTACCAACTGTTAGCTGTTCTCTTTAATCATGAGTTATTGTTTGAAATACATCAAAAATTTTCATGTATTACTGTAAAATTGATTGTTTTTCATTAGTATGATCCATAAATTTGAATAAAATACATTTCACTATAAATTACCATAATTAGATATTTATTTTTCCCATGGAATGTCTAAAGGATCATTTTCTAAGGAAATGTACGGTCTTAACTATAAAATACTTAAATTAACAGATGTGACCTCATCTTTAGTTAAGCTCTCAGCTTCGTCTTGTGATGTTCTTCTGGTAAGATCTATTACCATTCCGTAGTAATTCAACATCTAAACTATTAATAGAAATATCACTCGTTGGAAAATCATAGTAAGGAATCTTGAAATTATTGTAAATTACCGATTAACATCATTTAACTATAGTGCATTCATGTATTGAAACTACTAACTCATTAGTCATTTACAACCATTCGATCTCTTGAAGAGAGCACGAACAAATAATATATGTGGATTCATTTTACTTCTCGAGGTTTTTGGTAGCTGATGAAAAGTTTACGAAATGGAACGAATTCGTGTTATTCTGCCCAATTCTTTGTTCTTGCTCTCTTCAAGATGATAAAAGGAATTAGGTGTATGAAAATTCGATCTCTTTTTAGATACCCTCTTCACCAACTCCTGTCTTAACATTCAGGTTTTATTCTCAGATATTCTAAAATAAATATAGTCCGAAGAGTTTAAATAATTATTGCCGTACTTTATTTAATACACATAAATACTGATACTTACGTATGCCCAACGACCGACTGCCTCGACGTGCGATGTTCAGTGGTATAGGAGTAGATTGGAAGAAAGCTAGGGGCGGCCAGACCAAAACATGGCACAAGTCCATGAAGTCACTGACAAGTGGTCTGAGTCATGTTGGTAGGTGTAGACTACCTGGTTGGGGACCGCGAGATGATAGCAACCGATGGTTAGAGACCCTGAATGACATGGCTCAAAATCGTTTGCAATGGCGCAGGTGCATCCACTCTTTGTGTTCTCCCAAATTATAATCTTCTAAATTCTTCATGTCATTTTTTTCTCTTTCCAAATTTATTTCACTGAATCATACTCTTTAAATAACATCTCCAAACCCTAATCTTCCCGATCACTGCTTACACTCTTGCTACCTCTACCACTACGGGATTTGGATCGACAACTGCATCTCTGTGTTAAGGTGGTGTGGCAACTCGAACTGATGTACGTACGTACGTACGTACGAAGTTCTACGTTGTTAATGACTGAAATACTGATACAACTGGGCACCAAAACAAACATGAGCCACACAAATAAGAAAATAAAATTGTTGAAGGATATAGGAGGGTGATGAAGTATTATCAAAAACTAGGTGAATAAAAATAGGTGAACGAGAGTAGTATATAATGAAAGAAACCGTCCATTAGAAAAGAAGACCAGGAAGAATTTAAGTTAAGGGAGTTCCCTTCGTCTTTTTATGAATAATGCAGAAAATCATAACATCGCTGGCTTCTGTTATGAGTCATATCCGGTAAAATATCAAAACACTGAGTTGGGCAATCTCTAGAACCGACGGATGACAGTTCTACACGACTTATTTTCATGTCGTGGAACCATGTCATAAGGTAATCAAGTCTTTGGTTTCACTAGCCCTTCCTAAAATCAGTAAATAATCCATGCTATGGCGTGACATACGTTTAACTAATATCAGATCATGATGAATCTAATTTACAATTTGAATCTTCGTAAACCATGTTGTTTCTTTTTACTTTCTATATTGTCTTCTTATATCTAGCAAGTGAATTCACTTAGCCTAAACATTAACAATTAAATGGATCAGTTATAGATATATTTATAACATTACATATGGAACTGTTTCACCAGGCTATTTATATATTGATTTATTATTATTATTATCTCTTTTTGAAATTCTTGTGACTGACTTGCAATCCGCACAGGATGCACATATACCAAAAGAGGTTGACCAATTGCAGTGCTTAACATCACTGGGAACATTCAAACAACCAATACAAATGAATTATTAATGCTTTTTTTTATACAAATATTGAGTTGACATTCTGACTGGAACTTTTAGAAAGTATTATGATTCTTTTGATATCAGTGTTAGATTTCCCCCAACAAGAACATGATTAACAACAAGTTATTTAAATTTGTTTTATATTATTTGTTTGGATCTTCCCATTGATGTTTAGGAATGCAGTTGATCAGTCTCTTATTGGTATATGTGCATCCTGTCCGGATTTCGTTAAATCACGAGAATCACAAGTAAAGATGGACAGTGGCTAGCAGTGGAATCCAAGACGCACGTTTCGTCCTATTTGGAACTGCATCCCAGAGTTGATGTTCACTCCAGAACTCGCACCCAGTACCTAAACATCAATAGGAAGATTAAAATAAACAATACAATATGGATTTAAACTTCACCCCATTGCATAAACTAATGACTATAGGACTCAGTAGCTAAATGGATAACGCGATGGCGTTTGAAGCGAATGGTACTGGGTTCGAGTCCCGGAATGAACATCAACTCGGATGCAGACACGTCCAACTGACGAGTCCCAAACAGTACGAAACATGCGTCCTTGTTTCTACTGCTAGCCACCATCCAACAGGTTATCTAGTTTTATTCTGATTTTTTAGATTGTCTATTAACAATTTTTATAGGATTATGAGAAATTTTGATCTGTTATAACCGTAAACATTCTTTTATAATTAAATAAACACAAACATGTACAGTTTTTAGTTTTGAATGAAGAAATTATAAAATGTACAGAATAAAGTCCATTCAATGACTTGACATAAGGTTCATATATTTATGTACCCGGTGGAGTTTTGTTCTCTGAGCTGGATGGTTTGGTCGTGGAGCTTTCATCGTTCTTCTG